TTGTGTGTATTTATGTGTGTTTGTGTGGTCTTCAGGACGAGGATAACTGCGCCGGAGGTGAAGGTTGAGTTGGTGGGGTCCTCACCAGTGGTGTTCAAGCCTGGGATGTCCTTCTCGACAGCTGTGAGTCAACACAACCTCCTTAATCCCTTTAATGTTGTTACCTTTATGCTGGTGAAGTGTTCTTGATTGCTTTCAATGTGTGTGTACCTTTATGGTGGTGAGAGGTTCTTGATTACTTTTTCAGTGTGTGTACCTTACGCTGGTGAAGGGCTCTTGATTACTTATTTCAGTGTGTGTGTGTACCATTATGCTGGTGAAAAGCTCTTGATCTAAGATATTAAAGTAATCGTCTTCTTTGGGTGGCTGGTAAGCGGATGGAGGATCAAGCCTCGACCACTCCTTGTGTCGCCTGACACACAAGGAATTGGACCTGGTCGCCCCTTCCTTGGATCAATCCTCGCTGCCTCCTATAACCCCTCCTCCCAAGCGCAATAGTCCCTACTGGTTTAGCTCTCCTCAGTTAATTTAATGTGATATTGTACCCTTCTTGGCTGAGACCTGACTCCCTCCCGTTCCCCCCGTTGTTATACTACCCCTACTGGTTTAGCACTTTCCTCATAAATGCTGATGATAGAGTAGGACAAGCATTGTCAAGAAATTTTAATGAAAATAAGAAAATTTTTTGGAGCAAGTTAAACAAGTTAAGAAATCCTAGGGAACGAATGGATATGTCAGTTAAAAATCAGAGTAGGGGAGTTAGTGGATGGGGAGATGAAGGTATTGGGTAGATGGCGAGAATATTTTGAGGAACTTTTAAATGTCGACGAAGAAAGGAAGGAGGTAATTTCATGCACTGGCCAGGGAGGTATACCATCTTGTAGGAGTGAAGAAGAGCAGGATGTGAGTGTGCGGGAGGTGCGTGAGGCATTACGTAGAATGAAAGGGGGTAAAGCAGCTGGAACTGACGGGATCATGACAGAAATGTTAAAAGCAGGGGGGGATATAGTGTTGGAGTGGTTGGTATTTTTGTTTAATAAATGTTTGAAAGAGGGGAAGGTACCTAGGGATTGGCAGAGCATGTATAGTCCCTTTATATAAAGGGAAAGGGGACAAAAGAGATTGTAAAAATTATAGAGGAATAAGTTTACTGAGTATACCAGGAAAAGTGTATGGTAGGGTTATTATTGAAAGAATTAGAGGTAAGACAGAATGTAGGATTGCGAATGAGCAAGGAGGATTTAGTGGGTAGGGGATGTGAACAGTATTTAGATAAAGGTAGGGAAGTTTTTGTTGCATTTTTGGATTTAGGAAAGGCATATGATAGAGTGGATAGGGGAGCAATGTGGCAGATGTTGCAAGTATATATGGAATAGGTGGTAAGTTACTAAATGCTGTAAAGAGTTTTTATGAGGATATTGAGGCTCAGGTTAGGGTGTGTAGAAGAGAGGGAGAATACTTCCCGGTAAAAGTAGGTCTTAGACAGGGATGTGTAATGTCACCATGGTTGTTTAATATATTTATAGATGGGGTTGTAAAAGAAGTAAATGCTAGTGTTCGGGAGAGGGGTGGGATTAAATTATGGGGAATCAAATACAAAATCGAAATTGACAGTTACTTTTTGCTGATACTGTGCTTATCGGAGATTCTAAAGAAAAATTGCAAAGGTTAGTAGACGAGTTTGGGAATGTGTGTAAAGGTAGAAACTTGAAAGTGAACATAGAAAAGAGTAAGGTGATGAGGGTATCAAATGATTTAGATAAAGAAAAAATGGATATCAAATTGGGGAGGAGGAGTATGGAAGAAGTGAATGTTTTCAGATATTTGGGAGCTGATGTGTCGGCGGATGGATTTATGAAGAATGAGGTTAATCATAGAATTGATGAAGGAAAAAAGGTGAGTGGTGCGTTGAGGTATATGTGGAGACAAAAAATGTTATTTATGGAGGCAAAGAAGGGACTGTGTGAAAGTATAGTAGTACCAACACTCTTACATGGGTGTGAAGTTTGGGTTGTAAATGCCGCAGCGAGGAGACGGTTGGAGGCAGTGGAGATGTCCTGTCTAAGGGCAATGTGTGGTGTGAATATTATGCAGAGAATTCGGTGTGGAAATTAGGAGAAGGTGTGGAGTTAATAAAAGTATTAGAGGGCTGAAGAGGGGTTGTTGAGGTGGTTTGGTCATTTAGGGGAAGATAAGGCGGGGTAGGGGTCGTCCTCGAAAAGGTTGGAGGGAGGGGGTAAAGGAGGTTTTGTGGGCAAGGGGCTTGGACTTCCAGCAAGCATGCGTGAGCGTGTTAGGAGTGAATGGAGACGAATGTTATTTGGGACATGACGAGCTGTTGGAGTGTGAGCAGGGTAATATTTAGTGAAGGGATTCAGGGAAACCGGTTATTTTTATATAGCCGGACTTGAGTCCTGGAAATGGGAAGTACAATGCCTGCACTTTAAAGGAGGGGTTTGGGATATTGACAGTTTGGAAGGATATGTTGTATATCTTTATA